TCAGCCCATCCCAGCTGTCACTCTGCTGTGGGGGCGGGAAGATCTCCCATGTGTCACTGTGTCTCAGTGCGCCGGCAGGTACAGTCCCGTGCCACTAGTCTGGGGCTGCGACTGGGACCGACACGTGGCCACCTGCAGCCCGCCCCCATCTGGCCTGCTCCTCCCTCCCACTCACCTCTGGGGCCCCCAGTCTGTCACAGCCCTCCTTACACCGGGCCGTACTTAGCTCTTTTGGGAGCTGTCTCCCCCAGACTGAGAATCATTTGGAAGTAGGGGTGGGCAGCAGCTGAGCTGTCCCTACCTACCCTGCAGGACTGGCACGCAGCGGCTCGGCCCCTGCCACCTGCAGGAACCAAACAGTGCACGTGCCACGTGCTAAGAAGCACGTGGAAATTCGGAAAAGGGCAGAGGAATGCTGACAAAGCCAAAGAGAGAACGAAGGCCAAGTCCCTGAAGGATAAGGACCCTCCGAGCCCTGCATGGAGTGGCAGACACGGGGTCAGCAGCGGCACACCCACCGCAGACTTACAAGGTCTTTCTGCCCGGAGAGGGACGGGTAATGCCCAGGGAGAGGCCTCTGTCCTCTTGGGAAAGCTCTGAGCACAAGACAGGGTGTCACTGGACCAGGCCCGATGTCATGCCTGCTCTCCACCAGGCCCAGCAGTCTCTCTGCCATTCAGCTACCCTGTCCCTGCCCCATCCCCATCTGCTGTCATGCTGAGGCCACTGGGAGGTGAGACTCTGCTGTCAGGGCACAGCTGTAAGGGGGCGGTGGTGGGGGCTGGCATGGGGAGCTACCAGGGCTATGGGATCACCAGACACCCACTGGCACCTCACTGCCTGGCTGGGGCTGTCTGGGCAGTCGCCTTCAGCCCACGGTAAGTGGGGGAGCCCATCTTCACAAACACCCCACCCTTCGGGGGCTGAGCACAGGGAGCCCCGAGCACTGGGGGCTCCGTCTGTCCAGCTGGAGCTCCCTGGGGCTCCCGAGGGCAGGAGAGGCTGTGTGGCTCTTGGTGGTGTCCTCATTCCCAGGTGGTTCCAGTCTTGGGTTTATGACTAATTGTGACTCTAGGTGCCCGTCCCTCCTCTGAGGTTCTCCCTTCTCTACGTGGGAGAAGGAGATGGAATCAGATGGACTCCGGCTCTGCTCCAAGTTCAATGCTTGGCTGGAAAAGAGCAGTAGGTTCCAAAGGATTCTTCCCTTGGCCTTCTCCAGGCTTTCCAAGGAGGGTGCACCAAGAACACGCCTGACCTGCCCGTTGCCACTGAGGGCAAGCCCCGTCCCTCCTTGTTCCTCTTCCTCCCCGGCCCAGTCCTTGACCTCCTCCCTGCTCATCTCCTCACATGGCTCTTGAGACCACGGGCCTCCAGATCCCCCCTCCTTCTCCCAGGATAAACACAATCACAGAACGTCAGTGTGAGACGCTGTTCAAGGGATCAACCTACCCACCCCATGGATATGGGAGTCTGAGGAGCCAAGATGTGCTCAAGGCCACTTAGGCCTGCCTCAGGTCACTTGCCTTCATCCTTGTGCAAAGTGCAAACACCGTATGAGAGGAAGATAAGTAATATTCGACGGAACAGACTCTGAAGCTGTGGTTGGTTCTCTTGCCTTCTCCGGCCGGAGGAGAAAAGACGTCGGAACCCGTCACTCCCTCTCCTCCTCCAGCTCCCCCTCTCTGGCCATGATGACAGACAAGTCCTCATTACCTGTAAGTAGGTGCTTCCCAGGGTAGGTCCCCAGCCTCTCCCGGCCCTGGCTAAGGCCCTGAGTGAGGCGGCCGTGGGTGGGTGATGTGTGCCGAGGGTAAGGATTAGAGGCACGGGGGTTTCTTCTCAATGGCTTTTCGAATCGTGGGTCACGACCCATTGAGTGGGTCACAAACCAATTTAGGAAGCCATGACCCACACTAGAAGAAGTCGAATAGAAAATGCCTAAGCAACAGTATACTGTGTGTTGTCAGGGGCAGTGTTGCATCACGGGGCTCATGCATGCCCCTGGGTAGTCAGGTAAAAGGCGTATCTTACCGCGGGGCTCTGCAGACGGAAAACTAGATTGGGAAGGACAGGGAACAAAAGCACAGCCACTAGGGGGCACCCTCTCTCCTGCCAGCACCATTTCCTTCTGTTGCCACTGGGGGGCTTTCCTGAGACGTTGAGACCCATTTGGTGCCCACAGTGCCCTTCCTTCCTCCCCTTGCTCTGGCCATGTGAGCCTCCAGCTGCCGATGGTGACCGCTGATGGCATGTCACCCTCTCTTGCTGAGCTCCCGTCCCTGAGCCCGGGGTCAGGAGAGCTGACCTTGTCTTGGGGCACACACGTCTGGGGCTGGTCATCCCAGCACTCCCAGAGATCCTGCCCCGCACACTGTCTAGGATCAGTCAACGTCCAGATTACGTGCCCGACGGTGAGCTGGCTTTCTGTCCCACAAGTCCCCAAACGGAGGACCTAAACAAGGCTCCACTTGAGAACCACGTGGGGATAAAGTGGTGTCCGTGGACAAGGCGTATGGTGAGCCAGTCCCTGGCAATGCAGTGCAGGGGTCCATGCCGGCCTGGATGAGGGGTCACGGGGGACGGGGCGGGGTCCCCTGGCTTGGTCTCCACGGCTGGAATCTACAACAGCTCCCTCTCACAAATCGAAATGTCTCAGCTACTTCTTCATGTAGTTACGGTACCACCTCAGCCCTGCAGACCGCCCGGGGTGGGGGTGGTGCAAATCCTAGGCTGTTGGGGTCGGCAGAGGAAGCAAAGATGCCTAGGAAACCCCCTCCGGCCCGCGCGTCTTGCTGACCGCCTTCCTCAGAGGGCTCCAGCTGCTCCTCGGCCTCGCCAAGCAGCAGGATGAGAAGGGCCGCTTCGCCCGACTACCCAGGGTCCCCCGGCCGGCGCGGTCGGCAGACGGCTCTATGTTTACAACACCCTGCCCCATACAACAGCCACCAGCCTCACGGGGCCGCCCGAACTCAGACCCATCACAATGTTCTGAAAAGCGAACCATTTGGCTTCTTGGTGGCATCGGCCCCACCGCAGGGACTCAAGGGCCACCGAGTGGGACGGTGCAGACCCAGGACAGGCCTGTCCTCGCGGATGGTGCCAGTTGAGCGGCACGGGCTCGGAACGTGGTGCTGAGCCCACTCTCTGTGGGCTCTGGGGGCGTTTTCCCATTCGACTCTTAAAAGTAAGTTCCTGGTGGGTTTTCTTTCAGTCATTGGCTTCCTTTTTGCCTTTCAAAACCCGAGTGATGAAGAGCACTTCCGGTATTTTGATTTCTGATTACTTAGTAACCATGGTCTGACCACAATACCCAAGCCCACATGCCCAGCCTCAGAACCAAGAGCCAGGCAGCACCGGGCACGCCAACCCGGCTCTGGTCGGAGCTGCCTTCTGGTTGGGCTCTTTTTCTGAGGCTTTTGGTCCAAACTCATCCTCCACGGTCCCCATCAGCTGCCAGCGCTTTGCACCAAGGCTTCTGCCAGCAGCAGGAACTGCCTTCATCCTGGGTCCTGAGACTGACGTCCCGCCTGACGCTCTGCATCAGGAACATCAGGGGTTCTGGAAAAGTGGGCAAGTCAGCGCACTCTGACTTCAAGATAAACCCGCAACGGGCGTGACTGCTGCTTCCCATCTAGCCTTCCCCCAGTTCTAGTTAGAAAACGTTTAAGTATTCCAGGGGAAATCTAAGATATGTGACTGGACTGTTGCCCTTGTCAAGTTCAGAGTTTTGTTTCAAAGAAAAGTAATGCCCTTGAAATACCGAGCGCTATGAACTGGCAGATAAGGAGGTAACACTGGCACTAGGTGAAGTGGTTGAAATAAGTTTCTGGCCCCCAGAGGGTGAGTGGCTCCCTCCTCCTCCTCCAGAACCAGAGGGTGAGTGGCTCCCTCCTCCTCCTCCGGTCTGGCTGCAAGCCTTCCACCGGAGAACTTTCCGCCGGAGAACGGTGATGCCAAATGCAGCCATGCTTTCTCAGACACACGAACCTGTCCCCCCACCCCCACCCCGTGAGCCCACACATGGTCATGGAGGCGGCCAGGGCGACACCCGTTGCTTCCCACGGAGTACAAGTGCTTGTCCTTCCAAGCCACAAGGTCCTAGTCACGTGAACATGTTTGACAAGGCTCAGGCTGTTCTAACTCTGTTCTGGGAACTGACCCCAAGTGGAAAAGCTAGGAAAAGCTCATCTCTCAAAGTGCAAGAGGTTCCAAAAGGAAAGGGTGGCTCGCTCCGAAGGGATGTCTTGCCTTAGGAGGTCTCTTTCAGAGGATGGGTGCTTTGGCCTTCAGCCCTGCAGTATTTGGTTTGGCCCGTTCACTTGTTCGTCGTCCGTCGGCCCGTGTCCACCTACCACCTGTCCAGAGGTGCGCACTCTACAGAGTCTCATGGCTCCTGCCCTCAGCGTCCCTCTAGCTCCCACCTTCCGGGGCGTTCTTCCCCAGAAGCATCAGCATTCCTGGGGCAGGGAGACCAACAACTAGAACTGTGTTGTCACCTGGTGGTCAGTACCTGGGGTGTTCCAAGAGTGAGGACAGCTTCAGGGAGCCAGAGGACTCTGGGTCATGTGGCTTTAGTTGTCCGTCTGCCTGACCTGTCCCCTAGGAGCCCTCTGGTGCTCTGGAGACGAGAGAGACCTCAGTTTGTTTCCTGGAAGTGCCAGTTTTTAGCTGTGTGCATGTGGGGCTGTCCATTTCGGCCAGGGCCCTCAGTGTTTCCACCTGTAAAATGGGGACAGTACCTACTCTGCAGGGCTGCTGTGAGGTTCCGGGGCTGTCATGCGGGAGCAGCATGCATACCCCGAACCTGGGGTACAACATGGACTTTGCATTGCTCCAGGCCCCAACGGCTCCAAAGAGACATGATTAGTGAAGGAAATTATGTCACGGTACAAATGCCATGAGTCTTCAGTGGGCTGCCTGAGCCAGACCTACTTCTTGTCCCCCTTCATTTACAAATAAAAACCTTCTGAGGTCCTGACAGGTGATTACGTCCATAGCCAGGCAGCAGGGAGCACAGGATGTGAGAGCCACGGCTTCCTATCTCTGACCCCCAAATTACACAGATGCAGGCTGGTCATGTGGATTCTGATGAACAAGGCAGGGGTGGGTAGGTCGGGTCTCTTATGATCACCAACCAAGGGCTCTCAGAAGACAGTGAACGGAAACACGGACCACATCACAGAGAGACAGAGGCAGACCTTGCTGCTTCAAACGAGCTCACTTCTAGGACAAACTGACAGAGTCTCTTCGCCGGTGAGTCGTTTATCTTCTTTATAGAGTTAAAAGGCAGGTAGTAACCTCAGGCTGCTGGGGTCCTCTGATCCCTGCCTGCGGTGCAGGGTGGGGGGAAAATGCCCGGGCTTACGGCTCGGCTGCTCTTGGTTCGAATTCCACCTCCGCCCCACGACCCGAGGACTGTGAAGTGACTTAGCATGGCTCTGGGCACAGAGAGCTCATAAGCTGATGGCATTGGTACTGCCCTCCCAGGGAGACGGGGAGAGTCTAGCCACTGGCCACATCTGTTCACTGAATAATCTCTGATGCTTGGTTTTCGTTTCTTTTGCATTATAATTTAGAACACAGGCTCTCAGATGATTGTCTCGTTTCTTTTCCCAATGTGAGTCAACAGACCACTGCAAAAACTTCAGAAAGATAGACAAACATAAAGGGAGAAAGGAAATAAATCCTCACGAATTCACAGCTAGAGGCAAACTGCTGAAAAACTCTGGGCATTTTTTGTTGTTGTTGTTTTTACTGGCTGGCTCAGCCGGTAGAGCATTCGACTCTCGATCTCAGGGTCGTGATTCAAGTTCCACGTTTGGGCATGGAACCTACTTTAAAATATATAAATATAAATATATACATCATCAAAATCACAAAACTTATCGTGGATTCTTTCTTTTTTTTTAAATTTTGGGGGGGGAGGGGAAGAGAGAGAAGAGGAGAGAGGGAATGTTAAGCTCCCCACACCCAGCACAGAGCCCGACGTGGGGCTTGATCTCAGGACCCTGAGATCATGACTTGAGCCGAAGCCAAGGGTCTGACGCTTTACTGACCGAGCCGCCCAGGTGCCCCGCCATCGTGGATTCTTAAACAAGGGTCCACAGAATACGTGGAAGAGGGACTCAAAGGGCTCACCAGCCCTCGGAACGAAAGGCAGGTAGGCACGTTACTTCTGAGGAAAATGTCTGCAGTTTCAGAAGACTCTCAAAGGGTCTGCGATCAAAGTTAAGCACCATGACCACTTTTATACCCCTTTGGTCATCTGTTCATTGTGGCAGTAACAGCCAAGGCTAACGGTGCACATTGACTTTGTGCCTCCACAGCTCGGAGTCGTGTCCACGTAGTGCTTTCTCCAGAACCATTTAAAGCACTTCTTAAACATCTGAGTCGTGTTCTATTTTATGTCTGAATTGCAATTTGCTAATTTATTTATTATTAGACATTTGCACTGCTTCCAAAGTTGAATATATTACTTCTTTTTTAAATTAAAGAACCCTGCATAAATCAACATAGGACTTTGGCTATTAAAGATAAAGAAATGAGGGGGCGCCTGGGTGGCTCAGTGGGTTAAAGCCTCTGCTTTCGGCTCAGGTCATGATCCCAGGGTCCTGGGATCGAGTCCCGCATCGGGCTCTCTGCTCGGCAGGGAGCCTGCTTCCTCCTCTCTCTCTCTGCCTGCCTCTCTGCCCACTTGTGATCTCTGTCTGTCAAATAAAATAAATAAAATCTTTAAAAAAAAAAGATAAAGAAATGAGTGATTTTAACATTGTCTAGAAGGAAACTGATTTTTTTAAAAGAAGATTTACCCAGGGGCGCCTGGGTGGCTCAGTGGGTTAAAGCCTCTGCCTTCGGCTCAGGTCATAATCTCAGGGTCCTGGGATTGAGCCCCACATCGGGCTCTCTGCTCAGCAGGCAGCCTGCTTCCCCACTCTCTTTAATAAAAAAAAAAAAAAAAAAAGAAGATTTACCCATTTATTTTAGAGACAGTGAGAAAGAACGCACGAGCAGGGAGGAAGGGCAGAGGGAGAGAGAATCCCAAGCAGATTCCATGCTGAGTGGGGAGCTGGACGTGGGGCTCCATCTCACAACCCTGAGATCACAACCTGAGCCCAAACCAAGAGTCAGATGTTTAACAGATCCAGGCGCCCCAAAGGGAAACTAATTTTTAGTCTATCTGCACAGAACTGTGCGGCCTCAATCTGTCCAGCATAACATAACTTAGTACAAATGGACCTGCACCAGCCTTTTGGGAAGCTAGTTAACATCAGTGTTAATGTGCCAGCAGCAGCTGTAATAGGATTTTCTTATAAACAGGCAAGGGTAAGTCAGGCAGGAGTGGAGACTTGATATTACTCTGAAGGCGAGCAAAGCCGCTTGTTTTGTTGTCCAAGCGATGAAGCAGTAACACAAACATGCCCTCATCTGACCTACTTAACCCAGCAGCCCACAGAGCTGGTGGGGCCTGAGGACTCCGGATGGCCTGTCACCCTCCCACATCACACATTCTCTGGTCTAAGAGCAGGGACCTTTCACTGAGCAGTCTCATCCTAGAAGCGAGGTCCTTCCTTGGAGAGAAGGGCGCTCTGTCCCCACGAGGACCGAGGGGGCAGTGCCAAGGCTGATAGCATCTCCAGGCAGGACAAAAAGTCTTCGAGTAGATTAGAAAAGGAGAACGTGATCTCTCCTTGGACAGGCCCTCATCTGGCCAGTTGACATTCTGACTTTGCTAAACCAAATGCCTGTTTTTCTGGAGACTTCTTAAGGTTCTAGCAGGATATGGCCCTGGGTGACCAGTGGTGAGCTGCACTGTGTGCTGAGTCTCTGCAGACCAGTGGCCCAAAGCCCCGCCACAGCTGCCCCTGCTCCCATGCCACAGCACCTCACCCTCACGTCCTGTCTGTGGTCCTCAGCACAGTCGTGGGGGCAGAGGGAAGGGATGGCCTTGAAAGGCTGGGAGCCCCGGGCAGGAAAGGCGGCTCTCTGGTTGTTGCTACAAACCTCGCTGCGAGGTTGGACCCAGCACCCCCTGTAGGAGCCCATCTGGCGTCCCATTTCAACCAGATCTTCCACTGGTTAAATGAGACCCCTTGGGCCTAAGCTGCCAGTCACACCAGCTAAAGTAATGTTCCCTTCTGGGAAAGGGTTCCTTTCAAAAGATTCCCGAAGATGAGGAAGTCTTCCAGAAGCCAGGCTCTGGTGGTGGAACAGGGCGTGCCAGGCGATAAGGGGCAGGCTGGGCTGGCTGTGGCTGGCTCCACCACCATGCCTGGTTTCTTGCACACCTAAATCCAGGCAGTGGAGGGCGAGAAGAGACAGGATGGACTGTCTACCCAGGCAGAGAAGTTCTGGTCATCCTCCAAACCCCTTCTGGTCTCCGGAGGTCTCCTCAATAGAGCCCCCCCCACCCCGCTCAGTGGGGGGATACGCACCTTAGCTTCCACAGAGAGCAGTTCGGGGTTCTAATTTAACAGAAAGAGAGGCACAGCACGGGCAGATGAAGGCAAGCCTGCCCACCACAAAGCAGTTCTGTACTTCCAGAAGGTCACCATCCCCATCCTACCACACGGGGACCTTTGCTTTCGAGACCAGTGCACCGGATTTTCTGGGCTGTGCATGGGGTGGTTACGTTGTCTCCCAGGTGGGTGCGAGCCTTATGATTTAAGGGCTAATTAAGGGTCCCTCATGCCGTTGGAGCAACCACCCCCTCAGCACTGGCTGTCTCTGGTACACAGGACTGTGCTGTCGCTGAGCAGAACATAGGTGGGTTCTGGAATGGACTACCTGCTCCCTAAAAGTGGGGCAACAGGACTGCAGGAGAACAGGAGTGTAGCGCTGGGACCTGTCTATAATTGCTGTGTTTGCCTCCCAGGCGTTCATGGGAATGCGCGCCATGGAGGATGACTACGTTGACCATGTGTTCTTCAACATTTCCAATGACAACAGCCAGGGGCATGAACGCTTCCTGGAGTTCCGCAAGTTCTTTCTGCCCTCCGTGTACCTGGTGGTGTTCGTCTGCGGCCTGCTGGGGAACTTGCTGGTGCTGATTGTGTACGTCTCCTACCAGAAGCTGAAGAGCCTGACCGACGTGTTCCTGATGAACCTGCCCTTGGCTGACCTGGTGTTCGTCTGCACTCTGCCCTTCTGGGCCTACGCCAGCATCCACGAGTGGGTCTTCGGCAAAGTCATGTGTAAGACCCTGCTGGGCATCTACACCTTGAACTTCTACACGTCCATGCTCATTCTCACCTGTATCACCATGGACCGCTTCGTTGCGGTGGTTCGGGCCACCAAGGCCTACAACCAGCAGGCCAGGTGGATGGCCTGGGGCAAGGCCATGTGCTTGCTTATCTGGGTGATCTCCCTGCTGGTTTCCCTGCCACAGATCATCTACGGCAATGTTCATGACCTCGACAAGCTTGTCTGCGGCTATCACAATGAAGAGATTTCCACTGTAGTTCTTGCCGCCCAGATGACGCTGGGGTTCTTCTTGCCCCTGCTTGCCATGATGGTGTGCTACTCGGTCATCATCAAGACCCTGCTTCACGCCCGAGGCTTCCGGAAGCACAAGTCCCTGAAGATCATCTTCCTGGTGGTGGCTGTGTTCCTACTGACCCAGACGCCCTTCAACCTCGTGAAGCTCATCCATAGCACGAGCTGGGAGTACTCCACCATGACCAGCTTCCACTACGCCGTCATCATCACAGAGGCCGTCGCCTACCTGCGGGCCTGCCTTAACCCCGTGCTCTACGCCTTTGTTGGCCTGAAGTTTCGGAGGAACTTCTGGAAACTCATGAGGGACATTGGCTGTCTCCCTTACCTGGATGTCTCAGGTCCATGGAAGTCTTCCGAGGAGGCTTCCAAGACCTGTTCTGCCTCTCACAACGTGGAGGCCACCAGCATGTTCCAGCTGTAGGCCTTCCCCAGGCCTGGAGTGCTGCTCGGGAGCACGGCTGTGCGCTCTGGGTGCAAGGAGGAAGGCTTTGTTTATGGTTCGTGTTCTTGTGCGTTATCATGGAGTTTGTGGCTCGTGCATTCTCATGGAGAAGTCACCGAACCCTGCAGCTGGTGTGGGACGCTGCTTCTCGGGCATGAACACATTCCGCTTTCCTTTAGACCCCCAGGCCTGAAGCTCAGTGTGTGTTGGGGGAAAGCTCTAAAAACTGGAAGGGCTTTCCCTCCTCTATGCCCAAGAACGCTGGCTCCAAGGGAATGATGTGTGAACCTTAAGACCTCAGGTTCTCCTTCATGGTGACTGGGGCTGAAGGCTGAGGAGGGGACCATTGCCACACAGCTGCTGAGGGCAGGTGATGGTTTGGGCTCCCCAGTCTGGAACATTCCTCTGGCCACTGGGAAGCAGGGACATTAGGGAGGCCATGAAAACAAGTGCCGGGCCGCATGGCTGGGACCTAAGTCAGTAGGCACCGGACACAAATGAGATGGGCTCTGCCTCCCCTTAGGCTTGGGCTTTATAGAGATGCCTATGTTCTCTTTGATTAATCCCAGAGGGAGGGACACCAGAGAACATGAATGGGCCCTTAACAAATGAGTCAGCTGAGGATTCCAGGGGTCCAGAGAAGGTTAGGAAAACGTGCAAAGCGGAGTTTAAGACGATCTTGAGTCGAAGCGGCATTTCTGAAATGGATTCTTTGGTGGGTTTGCTCATTTAAAAACTCCAATAGTTCAACGCCTGATACACTCTCGCATATATAAGTCACGTTATTGGTGTATATAGAACACAAACATGCCTGTGTCAAATAGTATATAATTTTCATGACAAAGAAATAAAACCTTTTTAAAAGTCTCTAAATGATGCTTATCCTCAGGCACATTCTACTTTAACGTGGTATGCGTGGAACATACAGGAAAGTGATTATTCCGGGGGCTCGAAGCATAGGAAACAAGTTAAAACTGTACACTTTAAGGTACTGTTCTATCAAGGAAATGGAATATCCCAGTGTTCCCTCCTCCGCTGTGGCTTGCAACCTCCTGACCAGACTGTGAAGTGCGTTCGCGTACCCTCCGTGATACGGTCACAGGATAAGGCCGTTCGGAATGTCACACACTTGAGTAAGTGTATTAGATCCTAGCAATCTGCTCAGTAGGCAAAGTTGCTTTTTTTGGCTCATGCTTCCCAAAACCACTCACCAAAATGGAGAGAACCAATCGCCAATGGTGAAAGCGGGTGCACAGGGTGGGGGAGGGGGCGCGGGCCTGGCTCAGCCGTGTGGCTCTGGGGTCCGGACAGACCAGAGTGGAATCCCAGCTCCGGCTCTCACCTGTTGGCTAGACTGGTCAGCAGTCCCTTTAACCTCTTCTGTTTTGGTGAAATGTGGGCCGTCCTGGCGCCCGCCTCTGGGGGCTGGCGTGCGGGGGACTTGGGTTTAAGAGCACAAAGTGCGCTCAGCACGGTGTGTGCACGGCGGGGGGAGGGGCTGCAAGGATGGCAATGGCACACCGAGGCCGCAGTTCATCCTCTGTGAGCTGGCAAGGTGCGGGAGCGTGTGCTTCGTGCGTCTGGGGCCGTGGGGGACATGCCCCATAGCCTGGTCTAGCAGCGCAAGGGGCCAGGCCTAACCAGGCCCACACGACCCTCCCTACTGTCTCCCGCTCACGCCTAAATGCACCCGCGGGAGCAGCTGCCTCCAGTGTCCATGGGCCATGTGGACCGAGAGCCTTCTTGCTCAACAAAATCTGCCCTTTTGATGGTTGACAAGGCTGACCTTTATCGTCTTTAAATTGGCTTCACAAAAAACCCCACAAAAAACTAAAACAAAACAACAAACAACAAAAAAACCACACAAAAAAACCAACCGGGGACAAAACATAAATGGTCTCCAAGTGGGAGACCTGGTGAGTTCGTCCTTAGTTTAGCCCAGCTGAGAGTGGGGCCCCCAGCCCCTGGCTTCCCCAGAACGAGACAGAGGCCCTACCTGGAAAGGAGGATGTGAAGAGGCAGGAAGCCAGGGGCCCTGCAGACCTCAAGGGAAGCAGTGTGATGTGACGGGGACGGCAGGGCTCTGGGGTCACCCGGACGCTGGCTCGGTGACTGTGCATCCTTGGGCATGGCACTCCACCTCCCCAAGGCCCGTTCACCATCCACACCACCCCTCCCCTCCCTCCCTCCTTCCCTCTAGGAGTGCTCATGAGGCCTACACAGTCGAGCCGGGGGCTGCCGGTCCAAAGTAACTGAAGGGGTAGCTGCAGGGGCTGCTGGCTTCTTCCTAACCAGGGGCCTGCCAGGCTGAGCCAAACAAGACCAGGTGCCCATCAGGCCATGCCCCATCCCAGGCCTGTGTTACATGTCCTCTCCAGGCTCCCTGCAGAAAGGCTGTGCCCCTCCTTCTGTAGCTTAGGAAAACCCAGGACAGCACAGCCATGGAATCTTCCTTTACCTTCTCTGGATCCTCAGTCACTCATCATGCCTGTATCTCTGGGCCCTTATCTGCTACATCCGAGAGCAGAAATTTTCCCAAGCCCTCCGCTATGGGCCCTGCACCGCTGCCTACAGAGGCAGGCACAGCCCACACAGCCTACAGATAGAGCACTTTTTATGTCTTGACTGCTCTGTTCACCTAATAGTCCCATGAAGGACAAGTTCCCAGCCTCAACCCTGCTGGGCTCCTCCCCTTGACTCTGCTCACACACATACCAGCACATGATGGGGTACAGGTGGGGGACTGCAGAAGGGGGCCGGGCTGCCTTGAGGGTGGCCTCAAGGCCCGAGGGTAAGCTCCTCCCCCACCATGTTCCCAGCATTTTGTGGGGCAGTGGGGGTGGTGGTTAGAGGCCCTGGACAGCCACACACTCTGAGACATGGGGAGCATATGGGGACCCTGATTCCAGGGGCTGCCTGGGAGCCAGAAGCCCAGGTGATTTCGGTAGGCATTCCGGACGGAGGCACAAAAGGGCTGAAGCTGCCCCTGTGGGTGGCAGGGTGGAGGAAGGGCAGGGAGCACGGGGTCCAGGAGTGGAGGGGGTGCTCGCTCTGACCTTCTCCACCAATGGCCCCTCAAGGCAGCGCCCATTCTGGGAACCCGGTCCTCTACAGTCTGGGGTAACTCCCAGTGCTGTTCGGGGGGAGGCCTGGTGCTACCATACCCATTTTTCTGGTGAGGACACTAGTTCAGAGAGAGGCCCACCTGCCGGAGCTCCCCCAGCAGAGCGAGGGCTAGGACCCCAGGGAGCAGCCCCTCTGCAGGCCAGCAGAGGTTTCCTACAGCTGATGGCCTCGACGTACCGCCAGCTCTGTAGTCCTCACCCGGGGGGAGATGCTGGGTTGCCTCACCTCAAGCACAGACGGCTTTCTAACCGTAACCATCCTCACCATATCCTGTTCTCGTGTTGTTTCTGAGATGCAGGCATCACATCTCCTGGCAGGTGACAAACCCACCAGAGCCCCTGCAAAGCCCTGGGACCGAGAATCGCTGCTCACAGGGCAACTACAGGCAAAGGGGCTTGGAGGCGCAGGAACAGTCTCTAAGAGTTTGGCTCAGTATCACTGGGCATCCGAGCGGTCTTCCTTGGGGACAGGGCACACAGCTCAGCCCGACACCACGATGCACGCGGAGCATGACAGACCCAGTGCGTCTCTGTGGAAGGCTTCCCAGGCGCAAGGCCCTGGGCTCCGCGCTTGACCTCACACGGTCTGTTTGGTAACCAGAAGGAGAGGCCAGGCCTGGATGAAGGCTGAGCGGAAGCCCAGAGACCCAGGGCCCAGCCCTGCTACTGGCCGAGAAGAGCTTTCTGTCTGTCTGTCCTGCCACCTGAGTCCCGAGCACAGACGGACCACGTGGTCCATGGAGAAGGCTCAGGGTGGGCATGGCTGAGCTCGGGGAGCAGGTGTGAACAGGCGTGCCTGGAGGGCTCTGAAGAAAGCCAGCTGTTCTCCCCAGGGGAAGGGCAGTGCTTCTTTCTTGCCACCATCCTCGCTGGTGGGCGGCTGCTCAGGAGTGTGGGGACCTCCCCCTGTCCCCTCCCTGTGCCGGGAGGGCCAAGGCAGAGAACTTCATTAGCCTAAGAATGTGTCCACGTGGGGAGGAGTGGACACAGGCAAGGGGGGGCGGGCAGGCTTCCGATGTGCAGATGGGGAAGTGGGACCCCGAGAAGAGAACTGAACTCTTCAGAATGGACCTGCAGCTCCTGGACGGAGGGAGGAGCTCTGGGTTCCTAGCCTAGCCCTGACACTTATAGCCACGTGACCCAGAGCAGCTTATCTGGCCTCCGGAGGCTTCCGGGGCATTATGTCCCTGGCCTGGAAGGTTGGACAGCGACTGAGCAGGACCACATCTAGACGCGGCGGGCACAGGGAAGGGGCCTGACGGTCATTTTCAACAACACTGCTACCAAGTGGCCTGCTTTCCCTCGGGGACCTGAACACACAGGGCACTTAATCCCTTCTGGCTCACTTCCTGCTTTGGACTTGCTCATTTCTTTCCCGAAGTTTCCTGTCAGGGAGGCTTACGCAAACCCAGGGCTCTAGACCACTCGCGCTTTCTCAGGAGTCCCGATGTGTCTGATTGGTCTTAAACTCACGAAGAAAAGGAACGTACGAGAGACCTGTCAGAGACCCCGGGGTCTTCTCTAACGCACAAAGAGGGTGCAGGCCCTTAGCTGACTGGCCCCTGACAGACGGAGTGCAGGCCCTGCGGGCTCCTGTCCGCCAGCCCCAGATCCACCCTGGAGGCCGCAGGCCGGCATGCTGGCAGTTTCCTTTCCCTGGAACACTTCCCGATTTCCAAGCACCAAAACACAGTTACGTGTCAGCGGTCAGAGAGCCTTCCGTGTTTGTTCTTACTGGGAAAGGGGAAGGTGAGGGATGAAGGAGACAGGGAGCTGCAGGGGGGAGGTCACTGAGGCTCTGGCCCTGCTCCCTTCCCTGCCAACCACCTGGCAGGGAGTACGGTGACCAGGTGATAGCAGCAGACTGACTCGGGGCCGCTGGAACAGAGCAGGCCCCCAGGAGAATGTCGAAGGCTATGTGGTGGGTGGAGGGTGGAGGGGCTTCAGAAGGGGAGGCAGGGCTTCCGGGAGGGAAAAGGCGAGGTCCAAAATTCTGGAAGCAACAGTGCGCGGGGCTGAAGGGTTGGGTGATCGTGTTGGCATTCTCTGTGAGGCCACAACATGCGGGTTCAGTCACCTCTTGTCAGAGAACAGGGGAGAGTGGAGGGATACACTTCAGCCTTAACCCTCTTGCCCTGAGAGCTTCATGAGGATTAAATGTCTCTCTTCCCACACAGCAGAAATCCTGATTAATCCTGGCCCTCCTGAACTCTGGGCAGGAAGAGAGGGACAGAGATCTCAATGTGGGTGTTGGCAAGAGCATCACCAAACTCCCCAATGGAGGCAAAGTGGGTAAATTCTTTCTTGGCTTTTGAAGAGCCAGTGCTTTGCTGTAGAAACTGCATTTAAGCCTGAACACCAGGGGGTGAGAGATTGAGCCAGGCTGCCATGGGGGGAGGGGACTTGGCCTGTCGCTACAGGTCCCTGGGCACAAAATCCCAACGTTTCAATGGCGTGGCACTGTGTGTGGTTATTCCATCCCTCGAAAGCCTTGTTGCAAAATAGATGAGACGGCCGGCGGAGGGTAAGTACTAAAGGACACTCAGGACACAGACAGACGCCAGGGTGCGCACACAACCAGTGACGGCGTGAAGAGGAAATGAGCGGGTGGCCATCTGCCAGCCGAGGAGATAAGTGCCAGGAGAAGCCCACCCTGCTGATACCCTGACCTTGGCCTTCCAGTCTCCAGAACGGTCCCGAGCACTGTTCGGAGGCACTTTCCCTTAAACACAGACAGCTGAT